AAAAACTGTGCACTTTATATTACATTTATCATTGGCAACACGAAACAATTATACCATTTCGTTCCACTTTACTCACGTTTGAGAAAAAGCTGAGACATAAGTATTTCTCAATTTGAAATATACATAAGAAAATTCCATAGTAAAGAACTGCCTTTTAGTTTGAGAACGCTTTCAACGCTTATTTGAGATGCATTTGAGAACTAACCTTTGAGATTTGATAAAAGGACTATTTCTCAAATGCATCTCAAATTGAAATTTAACAAAAATGTTTATTGGGTTTCTACTGATACGAGCACACAACGTCAATAAGCATCTTGTTGGCGAAAGCATAAACGTTCATAGCGTAAGTTAGGCGATTACATTGATACGCATATGTGACTGCGTATGTGTAGATGTGCCAGCGTTGGCTGTCGCTGCCTTTTCTCTATTTTCCTTGCTGGCTCTAGCTCCTTCTGCGCAGGCAATTTGTAATGCTTCAGCGACAATATGTGTATGAACAACTCTTGCATTTCTTTCACATTTATGCAATTTGCTCACTCATTCTAGTTAGCGAATAAGTAAAATTGCTCGAACGACCGAGCACACGACCGCTTTAGTGCTAGTCTATTCGCCGCCGCTCTCCGACTCCTTAATCAATTAAATTGCTCATACATATATTTAGCAATATTTACACTCGCGCCTCGTTAAGTTTGATTTTATTTAAGTGAGTTGTGGGCTATGAATTATGATTGAATGCTCAAGTGTCTGTGGAATTTTGTTGGCGGAATTGGTTCATTGCTTGGTAGCTGATTTGTGGCATACTTAAAATGTAATTGGAGTGGTTGCTTAAATTTCATTCTTGGAATAATAAAAAAGATGGTTCTGTATTTTTTTATAGAATACATTTTAATCTCGTGAAGAGTTCATCAACATAAATTTATTGGGCAAGGCTGATGTTGTCTATGGAAGTAATATAGATAATGTTGGACGACCATGAAATACGTATGTATACGCGAAAGAAAAAGATGTTTGTGGGCTGGCTGAAGTAAGAAAGCGAAGCATTGTTAAGTCATCGTAGACATGTTTGACTTAAAGAATTTTCTATCAAGCGCTGCGAAATGGGCTCTCCTGTCAGTTTTTGGCCCATAATATCATCGGTAAAGGTATGGATAAAGCAGATAAAGTTGTATCAAAATATGTCACCAAATTCGGTTGTCAAAATATGACATAGTGAAAACCAGTCTTAAGACTACTCTTTGTCGGTTCCTGAAATTAGTTTTGTAAAATGGACGGTAAAGCTTAGCTGTAGCTGTACCCACTTTTTCAATGAGATAAATTAACGCGGAATATATTGAATTCAGAGATTCAGCTAAATATGCTCTCAGAACTAACCACCCAAATAGCATATAAGGCCTATGCGAGCTCCGTTAGGGTCGTCCTTAATTTTGCCTTACCAAAAGTGTGATGCCGAACACAAGTCATGGCAATAAGCCAGTCAACTTTATGTGGAATCCATCGGTTAATAGACCCCCTTTTTTTGTTTTTTTTGTTTTGACTAGTAAGTAAATTTTAAAATTCGATGAAGAACGAATATTTGTTAAAGATGAACTTAAAATGCATTTGAATAGAAAGAGCTTTGTAAATTCAGTGACTTGCTTAATTCGCTATTGATATTTTGAAAAGTCTAAGCAGCTGGCAGAGGCTTCGCAGTACAACATTTTAATTTACACCATTTCAGACAAAGATGCGCATCATTCACGCAGAAAATTGACTTTTTTTTTAAACAAGTTGAATCCATTTAACAACAGTTGCACGCCATCTGTGCACATTTTCAAAAGCAACAAAATATATATGTACATACATAAATATATATGTAGATATGTATGAGCACGAAATTCAACAAAGTCCCTTTTGCCGAGTAAGTCAGCATATGCGTATATGTATTTCCTGTTTGTCTTGTTCGGCGCGTGAATTGGGTCAGGGTCAAAACGGTTGCCAGCCATGTATGTACATATGTATGTAAGCCAGACAGACAGACAGCAAAACAAGAACATTTGTCTGCAAATATTGTATTTTTCAGCATTTGGTACACATAACCCTCATAGATGTTTGCGGACTCTGTGATTCGCTTCACTTTTTCCACATTTTTTATATGCTTATCGTAATCACTGTTGCAAGCTCTTCCGCGAACTTTTGTTTATCATCCAAGGTTCGCCATGGGTATGTTGCTTGTTAACAACTCACTTTGGTGGTCCTTCGTTAAAGGCATACAAAATGTTGTAATTCGACGTATTTGCGGAGGTATTTTGGTAATTTTCCCTTTGAGCGCTCATGCTCAGCTGACCGCTAAATTATGCTAATAGTGTTTGTTAACATCAAAGTTTGTCTTTAATTTTAAATACTTATGCTAAATTTTGGTTTATTTATAGAAGGCATTTATGAGTTTTTGATTTTTCTATCGCTTATCTAATGGCATTGTTTGCATAGCAATTTGCCTTGTTTCTCCCCCTCTCCTGCTAGCTTTAGTAGCGTAAAAATAGATGAGTGGCTGTAGCTGTAAGTATGCTCATTAGTAATCATCTATATGTACACACTTTAATTTATTTTTCCAAATTTTGTGCATTTTTTAAGTATACGCGAGAGTGCTTGCGCGTGTTGAACAGGACTTTGGCTGCGGTTAAGGGAAGTAAAAATAAAATTCCGAATATTGCCGTCTCGAAAAATCTCGAAGTGTTTTTTTTATGAGTGACATGTTAAGACATTCTAAATGTTTGTTCCACCTAAATTTCTTACTGAGTTTTAGGCCAAGAACTTTTCAATTGCCAACTTCTGGTACCTGCACGTTAGGTCTTTAGTTGGATTCGTAGGCGCAACAAGTGAATTTCTTTGTGGAGAGCTAAGCTTTTTTAATATATATGTAGATTATAGAGTAACGGCGCTCTCCGCTCATCGCTGCTCTATAAGTTTCATTTTTCCAGCCGTAGATTAGAGTGAGAATATTCTCAGCTGTAACTGTTCCCAAGTAGTCGACGTCAAACTTCGCCGGATGCTTACATTATTTTGGGTGTCTATCAAGGACACTTGAAGCTTATCTTATCATCATCGGAACGTGACCAAATCGGGAACACCCATTTATCTCTGTAGATATTTGGATGGTTGTGTGTTGTACTACTAACTATGAAGTCAATCAGCATGTACACCTTGTCGAATGTAACTTTCCTATACCGAATGCTATAGCATTAAGCTGTTCATTTTGATGCTCTTAGCTAGTTATCTTATTTTGGAATACCAATTATACCTCATGACATGACCAATGGTTGTGCAAAAATTTTAACTTAATAAGCGGATTCTATAATACGAACAACCGCCTGCTGCCACGCGTTTTGTTGCACACCCTTTCTGCGCCTTTCGGGATCATGGACAGGTCAAGTTCCCACTTAATCGCCTCCTCGTTGCCCGCGACAACGGAACCCAGTACAGCTGTACGTCACCATTGATATGTGGCAAATACAGAGCTGCCATGCACTCAGCCACAATTCTAGAGGAAGTGCTGCGCGATAGTAGCGGCTATCGCAGCTTGACTGTCGATATGGAGATTTACCTGCTCATTTGCTGTTCAGCTTATACGATTTGTTGGAGCCGAGCGCACGCTCTTCTTCATCTTCGATCCGTCTGTATAGACATCCAACGAGCCAGCACTCCTTATGCCCTCGCGCCAGCCTTCGACCTCTATAGTGGCTTCGAAGTTCGTTCCAAAGTGCAGATCCGGGATCACATAGTGGTTTCCATCTGAGCAAAGTTGACGATATACTACTGTAACCGTAAGACCAGCGCACAAACTGACCCATAGCATGGCCACAGTTCTTGATGCTACATTCTTAGCCGATAGATCCGCCGGCATAAGATGCAATTAAGTACGGTTTTCTTCTACTGTACTGTCCACCAAACCAATACCCCATGGAACAGCATCGGCCTGGCTATCGGCGTGAAGACACAGTGAAAAAGAGAAGGCGATAAGCCCCAGGTGTAGCCAAGCATATTTTTGCATACCTATTTAGAATACCACGGAGGCCTGCTTTGTCCTTTCCTCCACATTGTGGCGACACGACAGCTTATTATCCCAGATATTTAATTTTCCCTAGCATGCCACATGCAAAGTCACCTCAAACAAAATGTATCCCATGAACGAAGCAAATATTTTCCTCCACGGAAATGCTTAATTAGGTAGAAGAATAGAAACTACAGTGTTACGCGGCTTAAATCGTAAATTGCTCTATTTAAAATTATATGTTTGTGCAAGCTTTTACTTTCATACTTAAATATTAAAATTAAAAGTGATACTAACGGCTAATTCTCAAATATGGCAAGCTTAGTGAGTGGTTCCAGCCAAACAGCAGTCTGAGATGCTATTTTGAAAGCAGCCCGTACCTTGAGCTCATACCCATAAACTATACAGCCTATTAGGTAAGGGAAGCTTAAAATAGTTGAAGGTAAAATACTTTCCTTAATTTTGATTGACTCCAAACGCCGTGGAACATTTTATTCCGGAACTTCGTTTTAGACACAATCTTAATTGGAATTCTGGCGAAGTTTGCGAGATAGCTCACCGAAAAATGTCTGATCACACCAGGACTTGATTGCAAACAGTGAAAAGGGAATATCTCTTCTCGAACGAAGGCCTAGGCTTCTTAGGAATACTATTGACTCAAATTCTCTCTTCTAGGGCCCAGTTTATCAAGCGCCTTTCGCTCAAACTTGTAGAAATCCCTTCAATAATTTAAAATGTTCATTTTGTTGCAAACACGCCAACAGGAATTCCCAAACAAACAAGATAAAGTTTCCTGCATCATTTCCAACATTACAATGCTTTAGGCGACCGACGCCGGGTGTAAACTCAGACAGCTACTTGCAAGGCACCTGCTTGCAACACTTTGTGCCAGACTTATGAAAAACATAAATCCAACGCAGAATACAAGGAAGCTAAATAAGCGTAGGAGCCGCCACTTTAGTACTTACGTTGCTTATTCGAAACTGTGACTGTGTTGCGGTATATGTGCCAAATAATCGAGTATATCTGGTATTTTACCAATCTCTTGTAATTTCAATTCCGCCGGTGAGACGTCCTCAAAGAGGCTGGCAAACATTTTACGCAAAAAGCCATGCGACTTACGTTGTTTCACAATATCATGTCGTATGCTATCGATTTCCTGTAGCACATATAAACGTGATATGCAAACTGTTTTGATTACTTGTTCGATTTCACATTTCACAGCTGAACCAAAAAGTGGCGTATAGCTTTCTTCATGAAACATACCATCCCATTCATTTTTGCCGTGCCTATTAACGTAAAATTGCTTATAAATCAGCTATAGATGTGTAATATAATTGTTACCTGGAGTAAACTGAATGTTTTCTGGGCGAGTCAATACCAAGTTGGCAAATGTAAGCTTGCTCTGCTTGGCATAACATTGTTGGCAGATTAGGCTGGTTAAAAACCTATAAAGTGAAATGTTTAAACTGTTTTATTGATATAAAATTAGCATGTTATATACATATCCCACATTTTCTAAGCTCGGCGAATCTACCTTACTTGAATATCCGTGTTCTTCCTTGAGATACCTACATATCTTCTAATTATTTAAGATTTTCTACTTACCTTTACCAATCTGTGCAGCATAATAACATTTCTGAACGATGTGAAATCTAGTCGCTCAAAGCGTGGTAATATATATACAAAGACCTGCGTATATATTACCAAATTCTCGGCTATAAATGTACTGAAACGTTGACTCACGGACGTTTCACTTCCAGTGGAGCTAGGCATCATACCACTAGCACTAGTCGCTGCGTTAAAATTGCCACCACCACTGAAATGATTAACAACATTAAATAAATTAATTAGAAAATTCCCATCGCAATTACTTACTAGAGGTTTGTATTTTGTAAATCGAACATATAACGCCAAGGTTGAATATAGCTCAGCCATAATTCTAGAACCACTGACAATGAACTGTCTAGCGGCCAGCGACCTATAATGCTTTTTAAGAAAGGATATATGCGAGTTTTCATCATTGGATGAGCCAGCTTGCGAAGTATCGCCATCGGAGTATGATCCATGTGCATCGAATTAGCGAATGTGTGCACTTGCTTTACAAGTATGCGCACAACGCGTATAAACTCGCTGCTTGGTAGGTCCTTAGTGTTACAGAAGAAATATATTTTAAAAAGATCATTATTATTTGTACGAAGTTTAACTTACCCTCGCCTCATCGATGTCGTAGCGCAGCCATGTATCGACGAAGAAGTGTAGCACTGATTCGGTACGCCAGCAATGCGTTCGCGGCGACTCACAGCTCCGTGCGGCCTGTACAGCCGCTGCAGCTGCCGCAGACGTTGATGGGGCGTCTGTCTGAAACAAACTAGTATTTGTTGGTATTTTCAAATATTTTGGGGAACGTTGCGGCTGCAGCGGTTGTACTGGTTGCAGCGGTTGAGGTGCCTTTACCGACGTACAAATATTGGTCGGATAAACGATCGCATCTGGGTTGTCCGGCAAAAAAGTGCCAAGGTATTCTGCTGTTAAAAAGAAGTACACAGTTTTCATGCGTTCATTGCGCACTTGCAATGCCGCTGGATACATTTTATGCAGCGGCGCTGCCTAGCGAAATATGAGTCGCAGTGGATTTTGAAGTAGATCGCAGTGCACTTCACGTGAATGCCGCCAATTGCCGGCTACTCATAATAAACTCAACTCGAGACTTAAATGGCAAATGAATGGATGGCTTTAAAATGGTGGAAAAGTAATAAAGTGAATCAATAAGCCAAAGTAGAGGCATGAAAGCGCCAAACGACAACATCAGCCTGCATCATCTGACTTCCTGTCAGAGTGCACCTGGATGAGGCAAGAGCCAGAGGCTGACGAGCGACATGGTACGTTCTTGTCCCACGTCGCAAATAAAGTTGCTCTGACGCGCGCGGAAATTAAAATCGGAAACATGGCAACGGAAGTGCAAGGTCGGTTGTTCCGATGCATGAGAGCGACATGTAGTAGTTTGATAGTCATACATAAATAGTGTGGCGGCGTAAAAGGAACGGCTTTGAAATGGACGAAAGTGAACGTGCAGCATTTGATAAGTGAATTTTCAATCATATGTAGCTACGAATACAGTATCCGCCTAAAACCAGTGCTACCGATATCAGGTTCGTCTGCTTGGAGCAGCATATAAAGATCTTGACCGTTTGCTGGGTAGGTGTTTGCGACTTTTGAGCTCAGCGGGGACGGGTTGCTGTTCTCCAGTTGTACATGTGTTGCCTTGCGTGTTGATGGAGTCGATCCTTATGAAGCAGGGCGTTGTTGTGGTTATTCCCACAACTGCCTCGATAGCAAGAATTTATGTTCTTTCACCGCCTGCAATTGGCTTCTCTCGTGTAGGATTCGCTTGGGCGCTATGAGAAAGCAGTCTGTAGCCGAGTTCTGGACAGTTTGCAGAATTATCCACTGCGTGATACTCGTTCTTGCGATGCATGACACTGCATAGTTTATCTCCGATCAACCTTTTTCCTTGTACATTTTTTGCGTCCCTTTGTTTTCGGCTCTACAAAGTGCTGTCGGTCAGCGACTGAAGGAGTTTTTTAATTACAAGTGGCAGTGAAAACGCTGCGAAGAAGGAACGATCATAGAACCGGTATTTGAGTTCTAGTCTAATAACTGCTGCGGCAGATATTCAGAGGTTTCTGCCGATATAGAAATTCTGGAGATTGAAGAGATAGTTTGGACCTGTTTGGACCCGTCGCCATGATCGTGCCATCGTTGACCTATCTCAGCAGTTAGACTCCAGAAGCGTTGGGAATATAACGCCATCTCCAGCGACTGTCTGTCATTTTCGCCTGGCTTAGCGTTTCGGAATTAATTCAACTCGAAATTTACATTCACACAGCTTGCGGGTTATCCACCATTCCATCCGAGCTGGAAGTGACGACCTTATGACAAAGAGTCGCGTGGTTAATACTTACAACATAGACACCTAGGACAAGAGCCGTCCCATCCAAAGGTCGCCGTTTGTTCAGATCCACGCTTATCTCTGTGGTGATGGCGTTCATTGCTGTGTTGAGGCTGTGCATTTTCTAGAATTAATAGTGATGTTTGTTCATATGCTTAGACGGCTGAGTGGAAGAAGTGCTGAGTTGGTTTTTCTACTAAGGATAGGGGGCGATAGATCTGTATATATATCCTGCATTCGCCTTCTTTCCTGGCTTAAAAAGGGGAGTGACCGATCGCAATTACCATATCACTGGAACAACAAAGGGGAACAGTGATACGTTAAAAGCGGCTGTGATACATTCGAACCGCGCAGCTCTTATCTGCATGGAGATTTCCTCCGTGCCTAACGCCTTCAATGACTTATTGCTTTGGCGGTGGCCTCCTTTTGTTTTTGGTGGGAACACATTAAGGGGTACGATGTTTTGGTTTTTTTTTTTATGGAATGTAAGGGAAACATGGTCCCTTTTCCATGCGGTGAAAGCACTAAGCAGTTAGGCACCGGCCTCTTACTGCAGATAAACTTTTTAATATAATGGCTTATAAATAGAAATATTAGGTAACAATTGGGACCCTATTAGATATGTATAAAAAAGGAATTTACATCATATCTACTCATAGGCAAATCCAAAGACGTTACTTCAAACGCAGAAGAATAACAATCTATTGAGAAGAGTTGTAGATCATAGTTTTAGTTAGTCTGGAAACGGCTCTGCTTAAAATACTCTTCCGAGCCCAAAAAGTCAACTTTGGTCAAGAGCTTTTTCATTCCACCTGTAGGCTGACAGAATTACGGGTGTTAATGCTGGATCTTAGATAAAAAATGTCCAAATCGATCATGTTGTGATAGACATAAGGCACGATTCTAGTAGAAGGAGGAGGAAATATATGACTGCAAAAAGTTTGAAATGCTGAGCGATAGGAAAACCGCCCTAAAATTTGGAACGTTATGCCACCAACGGAAGGTTTCAAGACCAGAAAAAATTTCTCTAAGATGTTACTGGTGCGCAGAGCGTTCCTGATTTTTGGAGGGAACATTTATCCAACCTTAAACCGAGCTCCCAGTCGAAGAACACGCAGTCGATGTACCGCCACTCGATTATGACCAGGTCGATGATTGGAATTTAAGCGTGCAATGACCAATATACAAGAGGCGTGACCCTGCCATATACGCCAAATAGCGTGGAAGCAGACTTGCTATATATGGCGCAGAAGCACTGACAATGACATCTTCCGATACGGCGCCCCTTGGAGTATTCGAGAGAAGGAATTTGCGCGTAGGCGACGGCGAGTACCGCAAATGATGGAGCGATGAGCTTTACAATGAAATAGACAAAGTGAAGCAAATTAAATACAGCGGCTCTGATGGCTTGGATGGCCCTACTCTGCGATGGGAACACCAACTGGAGAAGGACTTGGCTGCACCGGGCATTTCCAATCGGCTTTAGTTCGCAAAGAGAAACAACGACCGTAGTACTTTTTGAACTCGGCCAAAATCATTTAGGTGGTCACAGCGGCAAATAAGAAGAAGCGGATAGTGAATGCGAAAAAGAAAAATAGTTAATAAGTAATTCGTGAAAAAATAGAAAAATGTGAAGACGAAGAAGCTAGAGATGTGCTAAGCGTTAAAAAGTCGACTGTGAACACCAACAAAAAAGCCTCTTGTTACGAACGCAGTCCATCTTGTTGCTTCTCTTTCTGTGCACACTGTAAAAATTTGCATAAAATGCGATTTGTACAACTCACTTAAGTGTAAGTTGAAAATAAGTTTAAAAATAAAGCCTCTTAGTTATTTTAAAAGTTGGCACTGCCGACTATTGTCTGCTGTTGTTTGATAAAAAAAAATTCCTCAGAAAAAAAAAATGTTCAGACTTTCTGCGAGAATTTTTTATCTTTATTCATATATGTATGTACATAGGTTGCATTATGGCCTAAAGAATGGTGTCAGCGATATAAAGTGCCGTCGCACAGTGCCGCGAAGGTGGACAAAAATACAAAAATCGACTGTCTTGAAACTTAGATGTTTTGATGTCAAGTTACAGCTAAATCTCCAACTAAGAGAAGTTCATAAGTTATTTTGTGATAAAAACAACTTTCAGCCTCACACACCCCCTCAAAGTACACCTATTTTCTACATACCATTTCATTTCGGCGATTCGCACATAAAAGTGGTCGCAGTTAAAAATTTGTTAAAAATACATTTTTATTCCTAGCAAGATCAACTTTTGCACTTTGATAAAGATATATGCGACAAACCAAAAAATGTATGGTTCATGGAAAAAAAATTTATACAAATATTTGTTTTTTATTAATAAATAAATATATGATTAAACATACCAAAATCCGAAAATTGGCAACCTTTGGAGACAAAAAAAAAAAACATCTTGAAAGTTCGTGAAATTTTTTTTTTGGTTATGGTAGTTTGGACCTTCTACTAACAGAAACAATCGAAATCTCTTCCAACTTTTTCCAATATTTGAAAATTTTCAATTTTGAAAAAGTGACTAAATGCCTTTTTTTGGTATTATTTTAGCTGATCTATATTTACAATACTTTTTCTGAATGCCCTAAGATCTAAATTTTTGGTTCGCTCTTCAAAAATAAGGTGTTGAATTAAAGCTAAAAGTGCCAAAACAAAAGTTAAGAGGTACAGGGTGCTTTGAAATGAAAAAAATTATCAGCTAATTAAAATACTTAAATATGCATCACGGTATGGGAGCCAAAAACAAAGGTATACGAAGATTTACATATATATATATATACATATATATATATATATATATATATAGAGCAATGACACCAGTTTACAAAAAGAAATATAAAACAGAGAAACAAATATTTAAAGGGTTCTGATCTCAGCTTTAATAAATACATTGTTGAAAGTGACGAAGCAGACAAAAGCATGGAATCATTTGAATCAGTGATCACTTCCTCCTCTTCTGAGGACTCTGAAACTGAGTGATTATAACAACTAGTTCGGTTTTTATTAACATATTATATGTTATTACCATATAACAGCTATTATTACTTACTTACTTAACAGTGATTATGCTTTATTTTAAATGAAATCAAAAGAATTTTTTTTTCTAAAGGTTAACATGTAAGGAAAACCGACTTAATTTTTCAAATTACCATATGTATTCACTTAGGAAGTAAAGTTTAGACGAATTTTGACTATTAAGACTATTTTTCTGAACACTTAGCAACAATGATATGGCATATTTCATTTTTAAATAATCATGTGCAAAAACTCGATGTTTTTTTAATGGGTACCCGTTACAAAAAACCGATTACTTTCTTAAAATTAGAGTAATATAGACACTTCAGATGTAAAGTTTCAATAAATTCTGACGACTCCTTCCTGTTTTCGTAAACACCACAATCAGCAATGATTATGCCTTATTTGTCTTTCATATAGTAATGTAAAAAAAAAATCTTTTTTTTTTTAATGGGTACCCGGTACCGAAAAATCGATTGCATTTTTGAAATAAGCATGGCTTAGTCCTTTTAGGTGTAAAGTTTCAACAAGTTCTGAATACTATTTCGGTTTTTATAAACATATGTCTACGATGATTATGAGTTATTTTGCCTTTTTATAAAATTGTAAAAAAATTTTTTTTTTAATTAAATGGTAAGAGATGCTGAAAAACGTTTTTTTTTTCTTAAATTGCCGTGATATAGTCCTTTCAGGTGTAAAGTTTCAGCCCATTCTGATGCCTCCTTCCACTTATATCAACACATGTCCACAATGACTATTTTCATATAAAAATGCAAAAAAAACTCGGTTTTCTCGAAATGAGTAACCGGTATAGAAAAACCGATTTCATTTTTGAAATTAGAGGGGCATAATACTTCTAGGTGTGAAGTTTCAGCCAATTCTGACCACTCCTTCTATTTTTGTCCATCATTTGTATGGAGTCGCGGCACTGTGCGTCGTCGCGACGTGGCCAATCGAGAAATGAGTACACAGTTATGCCGTTGGCAGCTCTTTGTGCATTTTGTATGTGTTTTTGTGAAAGGGAAAACGAGAGAAAGTGTGAAGTGAAACTCATTGAAAACGCCTCCACGCAACTGCCGCTTCATACGATACTTGCAAAGAGTAGCTACTAGCTAGCCACATTCGCTATTTTAATATGTATCCAACTCTTTATGTAAGTACTTTTACTATTTCTTCACATACCTTGCAGCATGCCACTTACCTTTTCATTCTCTTTCAACTTATCTCTGTATATCATCATTGAATATTTTTTTACCGAGAAATGCAGATAAGAAAATGGTTTAGCGTTGCAAAGTGCCTTTAGTGGATAAACGAAATACTTTTCCTTCTTAAGTAAGCTTTTCTTTCTCCCCCATTTCTACAGAAATTTACTTAGTTGAAAAGCATTATTTTAAAGGAATTTTTTCCCCTGTTATATAGCTCTAGATAATTGAAGTCTACTGTTTAAGCTCCTACCTTCATCGTACTGTTCAGCAGTTCGATACCAAAGGCTCAGTAGATACCAAGTAACACATAACAAATTAAGTTCCTTTAAAACTACACAATTCATGTCGATTCGAACTTTTCTTATCGAAAATTTAAGCTGTGGAGAAATGATGTGGTCAGTCCCGTTATGACAGGATTATTTAGAGTACATTTGTGTTCAGCGTTCACTGCCGGAGAAATGTGCTTGAAAATACTTATTAAGAGAGCTGCCAACTGTTTGAAAGGTCTAATTTAATTAACTAATGAAAAACTTATATGAAATATAAAAGTACGGGAGTAAAACGAAAGAATTTTGAGAAATATTTAGTTAGAACATTTGGAATGTTGAAGAGGGTTGCCACGTTTTTAAAAAGTTACATTGAAATAATTCAATAAATTAAATGAATTACTAAAGGGTAAGTAACAGATGAAATGGGTTTGAAAACTCTTTATTACTGACCTTCATTTAAAAGGATTGCCACGTTTCAACAATCAAATTCAACATAGTCCGACAGTTTATTGAAGTATATGTGAATCACAATGTCAGACGAAAGAGATCAAAGGAGAGATCTAGGCTGGCCACCTTGTAACGTACATAAGAGAAGGCATTTTTTGTGATAG